AAAATAATCGATATTCATGACATCAAAGTTACTTCATAAAGAATTTTTTTTAGTTTTTTTTTTAAATAAAAGCAGCTATGGTACAAACCACATTTAAAAGAATACTTTTAAATTTTATTTGGCCAAAGAATAGACATGTTCAAAAAAATATATACAAGCTTAATACAAGTGACCATAAGACAACGGGGGCTAAACCGGGGCTATTTAAAATTCTGACGGGGCTATAGCCCCCCCTAGCCCCGGTGTAGCGCCGTCATTGGTCCAGTGTAGTATTAAATTCATAGTTATGATAGTTATGATAACTGCAATGTAAAAAAATTGTCATTATTTTGTTTTACATTATGTTTGTCTCATAAAACTTGTGTCAGACTTGTGAAAATCAGTTTCTTAAATTCCTCTTCCTGTCAGTAAAGTCTACACCAGCTCATTTGTCCTCCCTAACATGTGGCATGCCCCTGACTCCATGCTTGTGGCTTATTTTGGAATATTTGAATGCTTTTATTACCTGATGGTCTTTAATTTACTCGTTCCACCCCCAAACAGACTAAAGAACCATTGTAGTCCTGATCGTCCAGGATCGTTTCCTGTGAGATCCAGCTCGATCAGGTGTGAAGGGTTTGGTTCCAGAGCTGAAGTCAAGATTTTGTAACTTTCTTCAGTGATACTGCAGTTTGAAAGTCTGTATATGGGGAAAAAAAGCTCATGTAAAGTACAGCATGTTCTATGCTAAATACACAAAATACACATGCATGAAGTAAAATGTCTTCTTTTTTTATTTTTATTCAAACGAATCAAAACCGAAATAGAAAAATACATTTTCATAGAAAGTGGCCAAGCGTGCCTTGATAACTTATTTTAATATTTGAAAAACTTTCACCACATATAAAACTGATTAAAACCATAAAAACATTTTCCTTATTTCAAATAAATTATAGGAAAAAACAAACTTATTTTATTTCAGTTATTTGCCAAGACAACATTTCTATTTTTAGTTGAAGTACTAAAATAACAAACTTAAATTTAAAAACACAGAATTTTAGTAATTTTTGTTGTTTTTTATATCTAAAGTTAAATGAAAAGGTGTAACAAGTTATGCTCTTTTTTTTTTTCAATATGTTTAGCTCTTGTTTCCCTGACTTAGTTTTCCTTTGTTCTCATTTTCCTGCCACCAGTTTGTTTCCATGGTACAGATCAATTAGCTCTCACCTGTTTATATTCAGTTATTTATCTTGTCTTGTATTTATCTAAGCTGCGTTTGTTCTGTTCAGTGGTCAGTTCTCGTACACGTATTGTTAGTTTGTTTTGTTTTCTGAAATTAGCTTTGTTGCTCTGTTTTTCTGGATTTAGCTTTGCCATTTCTTTTAAATAAATCACCTTTGCTGCATGTAGATCCTGCTTCATCTATACTGCATACTAGCCGTGATAAAATGGAAAATATATTTAAAAAATGTTTTTACCTTAGTATATTAATAACTACTATAATAGTATATTAAGCAATATTGGCCTCATTTAAATTTTTTTATATTTCTTACAATATTTAAAGACAATGTAGTCAAAATGTAGAGTAGTTAAAATTAAAACAGATTTGGAAATTCCATTTATACAATCTAATCAAATGAACAAAAATGTAGATAAATGAAAATACGCACTTTAGTTTCTCCAATCTGCACTGTGGATTTTTCAACATAAAACAGATATTCTGCATTCCTGTTTTTCCTAGTTTATTTCCACTCAGATCCAGCTCTATCAGGTTTGAAGAGTTTAATTTGAATGCTGATGTCAGAGCAGCACAACCTTCTTCTGTAATACTGTTATTATTCAGCCTGCAGAAAAAGAGAACAAAGACAGGAATTGTTCTTTAATTGATCAAAAATCCTATTTAATGAAACAAGTCATAATTGCTTCTGCTTATATTATTGTCATTTTTAAGTTGCTCTAATGAAAAAGGTAAATTAATATATGTAGTGTTAATTCTTACCAATTATCAAAAAATACAATAAAAATTTGTTAAAGAGATTTTAATGCAAACACCAATATGAAAACCAAGTAAAATACTCACTGAATTATGCTCAGTTTACAGTGTTTATCCTGGAGTAGAATAGCAAGCTTCTTCACATTTTTGTCTCCTAGTTCACGTTCACTCAGATTCAGCTCTCTCACGAGTAACGGGTTTTCACCCACAACTCTATTCACATACTGACAGGCTTCATCTGCAGCAGGACTCAAAAACCTGCAGAAGAGAAAATTAAACAGGAACTTAGTGGTACAATGTAAAATATAGAAAATATTGCTTAAACCCCAGTAGT